TGAAATGCTCTCAGAGGATTTTAATTTCAGCAAGCTTCCTTTTAAAGACCTATTGTCTTTTTATAGTGTTTATTTTCTGGAATGCTAACACCATAAGCATAACTTCTTAATGTCTGATTGTTTTTCTGAAATAAATTAGGTGAAGAAATTTTCTTATTTCATCGTTGTAAAATCAGACCATATACTTTTTTCAATTTGAAAAGAAGCTTCAAAATGTTTTCTGCAGATTGATTTATTGTTCTTATATTTGCACATCAAGTTATCAATTCAAATGTATTTAGGTTGCAAAACTGAGGACAAAAAGGATAACAGATAAAGTGCTTCAGTGCCATTAATGTTTTTTTCATTGTTTTAGTTCACAGTAATCTAATGAGAGAACTTCATCAAGTGAAAAAACAAAATCATGAGTTTGAGGGAGAGAAGGAAACCCTGAAGGAACAAATAAAAAAGCTGGTGGAACAAATAGTAAAGCTGGAGAAACACATAGAAAAGCTGGAGGAAACTCAGAATGAGCTTAATGTCAGCAGAGCTCAGTGGAGCATTGATGAATACTGTCCTAAAGTGAACAACGGTAAGAACAGATCTTCTGATATCTAAAAGCAACAGACAATAATAGCATTTTGCTGCTAAACATGTTCTTGTTTATCTCTGCTGTTTAAGACGGAAAGTGTTCGCCATGTCAGAGAGGCTGGGGACATTTCCAAACCAGCTGCTATGGATATAATGATGCAGAGTTAAAGGATCGAAAAAACTGGACTGAAGCACAAGAAGACTGTAAAGGAAAGGTTTCAGATCTGACTGTTGTAGAAACCGATGTGGAAAAGGTAAACAGCTTGTGTTAAATTAAACTAAATTTTATGGAAAAAACTGTTAATCATATATGTGCAGTTTTTAAATCCCTCTCTATGTTATTGTCATGTCAAACATAGAATGAGATAAACAACAGATTTAGTCCTGTTTTGAAGGGCATTAAGGGATACTGGATTGGCCTGAGAGCAGTTCAAGGAAAATGGAAATGGATCAACGGGGCTGAACTGACCAATACGTGAGAAACACAAACATTCTTATTCTATGAATGGTCAAATTAAAGAGTTTATATCTAACTGATGTTTCTCATCAGGAGCTGGATAAAACAAAATGCAACTGATGGTCAGTGTGTGACTGTTCTCCAAGGCAGAGGATGGAGATCAGTTAGCTGTGATGAGAAGAACGCCTGGATCTGTGAGAAGAAGGCTTTAACTGTTAATTAGGTCACATTTAAACTTCTAAAAGAGATTCTAAACTATTTGAACATACAAATGTGTGTAAATAAAAGTAAAATGTTGAGGACAAAATTAGATTTTAATATTTTACTATTTAATTATCCCCATTTACCAAAAGTTTATTTTTATTTTTTGTCTTTTTTAGATAAAAAAGAAATATTAGATTATTAAAAGTATGTATTTTTTCTCCATTTTTTCCCCCTTCATCAAATATCGAGTAATTCTGGAATCAGAGAACATGTTATTTTTTTTTTCGATAGAAAAGATATCTTAGTATATTAAAAGCATGTATTTGTTGTCCATTTTTTAATCAAATGTCGATTAATTATGGAATAAGGGA